GGCGGATAGGGCGGCGGCAGAGGCGGCGGCGTGGGGGCGAGGCCGGGCGGGAAGGGCGGCGACGGCGGCGGCGTGGGCGCCTTGCCGGGCGGGGTGGGTGGCGGCGACGGCGGTGGGGTCGGGGCCTTGCCCGGCGGGAAGGGCGGCGGCGAGGGCGGCGGGCGGGGAGCCTTGCCTGGCGGGAAGGGCGACGGCGAGGGCGGAGGCAGTGGCGTCGCGCCGGGCGGGAAGGGCGGCGGCGACGGGGGCGGCGTCGGTGCCTTGCCGGGCGGATAGGGCGGCGGCAGAGGCGGCGGCGTGGGGGCGAGGCCGGGCGGGAAGGGCGGCGACGGCGGCGGCGTGGGCGCCTTGCCGGGCGGATACGGCGTGGGCGAGGGTGGAGGCCGCGGCGCCTGGCCCGGTGGAGCTGGCGGCGGCGAGGGCGGCGGCGTGGGCGCCTTGCCGGGCGGATACGGCGTGGGCGAGGGTGGAGGCCGCGGCGCCTGGCCCGGTGGAGCTGGGGGCGGCGAGGGCGGCGGCGTGGGCGCCCTGCCGGGCGGATACGGCGTGGGCGAGGGTGGAGGCCGCGGCGCCTGGCCGGGTGGAGCTGGCGGCGGCGAGGGCGGCGGCGTGGGCGCCCTGCCGGGCGGATACGGCGTGGGCGAGGGTGGAGGCCGCGGCGCCTGGCCGGGTGGAGCTGGCGGCGGCGAGGGCGGCGGCGTGGGCGCCTTGCCGGGCGGATACGGCGTGGGCGAGGGTGGAGGCCGCGGCGCCTGGCCCGGTGGAGCTGGCGGCGGCGAGGGCGGCGGCGTGGGCGCCTTGCCGGGCGGATACGGCGTGGGCGAGGGTGGAGGCCGCGGCGCCTGGCCCGGTGGAGCTGGCGGCGGCGAGGGCGGCGGCGTGGGCGCCTTGCCGGGCGGATACGGCGTGGGCGAGGGTGGAGGCCGCGGCGCCTGGCCCGGTGGAGCTGGCGGCGGCGAGGGCGGCGGCGTGGGCGCCCTGCCGGGCGGATACGGCGTGGGCGAGGGTGGAGGCCGCGGCGCCTGGCCGGGTGGAGCTTGGCGCGGCGAGGGCGGCGGCGTGGGCGCCTTGCCGGGAGGGGCCGGGGGCGGCGTGGGCGCCATGCCCGGTGGGAAGC